TTTTTTTCAAGCCTTCGGAAATGCCTGTGGAACCGACGTGACCTCTCCATCGCCACTAGGATTCGCATGTACCGTGCATCTGTCCGGTCTGTCCTTCTCTACGGTTGTGAATGCTGGGCTTTGCGCGTGGAGGACGAGCGAAAACTGGAGGAGTATGACCACCACTGCTTGAGGACCATCCTTCGACTGAAGTTCACCGACTTCTTCTCAAATGAAACAGTCCGCGCTCGCTGCGACAACATCGCAAGGATAACACAGGCCATCCAAGAAAGACGACTGAAGTGGTTCGGGCATGCCCTTCGTCGTCCACCTCAGGAGCTCAGTGTTACTGCCCTCGATCCGGCATCGTTGCCCCATTGGAGGCATCGTAGAGGGGGTCAGTTCCAAACCTGGCTCGACACAGTTCGTCATGACATGGAGGTGGTTCTTGGACCTTCGGTATTCGGTCTATGTCGTTGGCGAAGGGAATGGGTTGAGCTGTCCAGATCTGCTGCCGCGGATCGTCACGCGTGGAGAGGTACAGTTCGTGACATCATCGAGACCGGCTAGATCAGGCATGATCGCGGCCGTATCAAGTACAAGTAAGTAAGTAGACACAATTGGACTCGGGTCGGAATGGAGTGACTTGCATCTTATATTCCTGCCTGGTCGTCCTCTGATGTACTTTACTGTGCTTACAAGTGTGTGCGTGTTGGCGATTTGGATGCCACCGTGAGAAACACTGCCAATGATGATTTACCCTGCTCTCCTCCCTGGCAGTTTCGGGTGGCCCAACTTGGACATTTCGCCCCCATCTCCCTTGGACTGAGTTCGCCACTACTGCTCACACCATTTTCACCTACCCCAATTATCAGCATAATCTGTGTGTGTCAGAGCCAATAAAAGATGCCGGAATTCATGAAAAAAACTGGAGTAACGCTGAAATCTTCCTCCATGTTTGACCAAAAAAGGAAAAAAAATGACAAATGAGTGGCTCTTTATTGAAGGGAACAAAGGTTCAGTTCAGTTCAGTTCAGTTTATTTGAGGGAAATATAGGTGTTAAACCTTTGAACTCCCTATTTGTTACAAGGAGGCGAACAATAAAAAAATTTGAAAATTGAAACATCAAACGGCTACAGAGTTTCTTCAGATTGGCAACGTTTTGTAAGCCAGACAGATAAACGAATTGTTCCAAGAGTTAAAAACATTAACGTTACTAAATGTGCTGTACAGTAGTCTGTTCATACAAAAAAATGTAAGAAGGTGTTATTGGCAGATTTTAAAAAATTCCCCTGGACCAAACTGTGAAAAACTCGGTGCCTCGGTGGGATTGGTACCCACGACAGCAAGGGGAGGCTAAAGCCAACGCTCTACGTAGAAAACCGAAATGTGAACAGGATTATATTACGAACTACTGACTAAACTTTGGTCAGAAATTGGTTGAACACACTGTAGTGTAAAGAATGTCATCCATTCACTTTAGGACATGAACAAGATACTACTATTAGTAAACGTTCATTGTACCTAAACTGTTCCCCTTTGAAGTATACCGACTACCTCGTCAACTTAGGGTAAGGATCGTTTTTATGCCCCCCTCCCCCGACAGAAAATGGGAGAAGTAACGCCCCGTACTACAGGTGGCTTTGCACTAAATTCAAGCGAAAAATTCTTACCGTTAAGGTTAGTGTTTGGGTTAAGTTGAGGGTTGCGTTCAAGCGTAGAGTCATGGCTAAGATTAGGGTTAGTTCATATTGAACCAACTGTTGTGACCTCAATTGGTGTTAGTTGCGTTTGTGCCCACCTTTTGAATGAATTAGTCGACAGGCCGTGTTTGCTCGGTATTCTTGAGCTTCGTATGACTATCTTGTCCTCGTTATGGCGTATGTAGTGACGTAGGACTTTATAGGCCGCAGGAAGGTCTAGATGCCTGTTGGTGGAGTTGGCAATTGAGTACCAAGCCTCAAGTGTGAGACCTTCTGTCCTTGAGGTGACGACACACAACACCTCACAAACGGCGACCAGAAGGCCAAGACAGCTGCCAGGGTAGGCATTGCTCATCGACCCCAGGCAACAATTCGTCGTCGTTTGATGCAACCCAAAGACATACTGCCACCTACTGAACCCTCAGCAGTTGTCTATAAAATAAGTTGTAACGATGGAGACTGCAACTACGTTGGGGAAACCCGACGGAAATTGCAGACTCGCCTACATGAGCACGAACCGGCAACTCGGAGACTAGACCCAAACTCACAGCTTGCGGCTCACATCGAGGAAACTGGTAACAGTTTTGATTTACAAGGAGCAGCCGTCTTGGTCAGGGGCACCTCAAGGACAGAACGTCTCACGCTTGAGGCTTGTTTCTCAGATGCCAACTCCATCAACAGGCATCTAGACTTTCCTTCGGCCTATGACGTCCTACGTCACTACATACGTAGTGACGAAGAGAAGACAGTCATGCGGAGCCTAAGAATACCGAGCAAACACGGCCTGTCGACCAATTCACCCAAAAGGGGGACGCAAACGCAACTAACCCCAATTGAGGTGACGACACACAATATAGGAGGCCACCAACACTCACAAGCGACGTCCAATAAGCCAAGGCAGCGAAAGAAGAAAATAATCGACCAGTCCAAGGCCAACTAATTCGGCTGTCTATTTGAATTTCTGATCGATTTTTGCACTAGACGCTTTGATACTGGAGAGACGCCCAAGCTCTTCAAAACGTCAGCCAAACAATTCCCTCGATCCGGTGAGCACTTCTTTTTCCTCAGATGATCGACCCGAACCTCTTACGTTTGCTAACCTGGGCTTTAGTACAGCCAACGCTCTAGCCACCCGAGCTACGAGGCCCCACCGGGCGAGTCGAGTTTAATCACATTTGGGTCAAGTTACCCGCCCAACCTACTGCAACGTATGGAATCCACCAAGTCTGATACAGTAAGCTGACTGCCCAAGCAGGGTTTCCTAAGTAGTCCACCTAGAATCCGTCAAATGACTACTAGGCTCACGTAATCCATAGATGCTTGGTAGATTTTGAATAATTCGTATTGACCCAAATGTGATTAGACTCACGCCTTCAGGTGGGGCCTCTTAGTTCAGGTGGCTAGAGCGTTGGCCGTACTAAAGCCTTCCCCATGTTGTCGTGGGTTCGAATCCCACCGAGGCACCGAGTTTTGCACAGTTATCCAAAATCTCTCAAAACGTCTAAGGTTAGTTTCAGGACTAAGTTCAGGGTTACGCTCAAGGGTAGAGACAGGGCTAAGATTGGTGTTAAGGCTAGGATAGGTGAATAGGTACCCCTCCTTGGAGTTCAGCGGAAGACCACTTGTATTACAGGAAGGGGGGGGGGAGGCGTTCCTACTTTCATGTCTTTGCCCAACTCAGTCTTCGAGACTCAGAGCCAAGCTGAGTACTCACGTGCTGATCTTTCACGCTCATTTACCAGTCTCCATCGTTCTGGAATTTCACGTAAACAAGGACTGCCGGAAGGGTCTTATTGAGAAGGAACCATTACAGTCTGACCCTCAGTCCACAGGAGGACTAAGTTATCTCATCAGCTGACAGCACTCTCAACCAAGACTTCTAGCGCGTCGTGATTGGCTTAACATGTGTCAGATTTTTAGACAGCAGACAGGGTGCATGCTCTCCTAGTCATGCCGATTCGAGATAAAGGTCGGGTCCGGCAGGTGACGTAGTTTGTTTTACGCACCTGTTTGTCTACCGTGCGGGTCCAAGGCAACAGCGCAGCTCGTTTTAATGGGTTGCTCGCTCTCCTGCTCTGACTGGTGTACTCCACTTCGGGTGCAGCTCACAGCCCCGTCGCCGTAAGTATTGACAGCAGGTCCACTCGAGTACGACGGACGATGTACCGTGCGTGCGCACTCCTGGGGGTGAGCGATTCATTGCTATGAATTTTGAAGAAGAGGGAGCGTGTTTATGCATGCAAGCGGCCTTATTTTCTCACGCGAAAATTTCCCACGAAACCTCCGCTGTTAAGATGGCTTGGGGATGTATGTTAATGTTGCATCTCTATACTCTGAGACTGTGATTTTTGTCCGGCATCTTTTAACGATTTCCGCCCAATAACGGGCACCCTGTTTTCTGTTCCACACCTCATTCTCCCTGTAGTTTTCTTTTATTTTTTCCTCTTCTTTTTCCTCTCTTTGGCCTTCTAACGACCTCTTTCTTAGGAGTTAGATAATTATTTGCAGCTAGGCAACTAGGTTATTTGCAAATTTAACAAACATTGAGCAACCCACTCGCAAAGAAAAGCGACTTAAGTCAGTTTACTAAGGGAATGAGGCTTTCGCCCTTGAGCTCCCTATTCATATCGATAAACAGAAATACAATCAATAACTGCATCAGCAAATGCTGAAATTAAAAAGCTAACGGTAAGTGTGAGCCAGGCGCAAACTGCCGCCGCGATTCTTCTGGTCGACACGGTGTGGCGATCGCCCTATCACAACAAGCGGACCTCGCGCTACTTGCTTGGGAACCAGTCAATGACCGGATGGCCTATGTGCTACTGAAGGGTCACTTCACGAATATCTCCATCGTCGCTGTGTACGCACCAATTTCGGCTGCCGAACAGCGCGATAAAGAGGCGTTTTACTCTCAGTTGCAAGCGTTAGTTGAAAGACTGCCCCACCGCGATCTGCTGATTGTGGCTAGCGATTGGAATGGTCGAACTGGACCTGGCGACCCCACAACCAGTCATCTTGGCCGCTTTGGGCTTGGCTCCCGATGTGAAAATGGTGAGAGATTGCTGAACTTCGCTGATCGAAACCGACTGCTTGTCACCAACACATGTTTCCAGCATCGCAAAAAACATCTGCTGACCTGGTATTCAAACGACGGTCATACGGCCAGTCCGATTGACTACATATTAGTCAGCTAAAGGTTCCGCAGCTGGGTTCACGATAGCAGATCGATGCATGGTGCCGAGACTGGTAACGCCCATGGGTCGGACCATGTCCTCGTCCGTACGCGCTTGAAAGTTAATCTCTCATCCGCGCCAAAAATGCCACGTTCTAGACGCCTCGATGTGGCAAAAATCCGGCAAGCCAGCGCTGCCGAGGCCCCAAGCAGAGAAATCCGGACCTGTTCTGCGACCCGAGCCGACGGAGAAGTCAGTAACCAGTGGTCGTCACTGAAGACTTCAGTCTATGGGGCAGCCGAGAAAATCCTTGGATACACCCAGCGACACCGCAGTGATTGGATCAGCCGAAGAACCCCGCAGTTGCCTGCTCAAACGGCTCGAGTTTGGTCCCGCAACGCTGACTACTTCTGCCAACTTCGGAAGATGACGGTAAAATCGGCCAGGGATGACCAGAAGCAATATTGGGCTGAAATAGCGACCTCCACGGAACAGGCCTCGAACGTTGGTGACACTCGAAAGCTCTACCATCTGATCCGCCAAGTTAGCGGTAAGCCCTCTACACTGAGTGACTCTGTTCGCGATGTGAACGGCGGCTTTATTGCTGGCAACTCGGCCAAAGTCGAACGCTGGCATGAACACTTTGAGAACCATCTCCACTTCGATGTCCAACCTTCCTCGCCCTTGCTCTCATCCTCAGCGGAGTTTCTTCCATCTCCTACCTACGCAGTGCCATATGATCCCCCCTCCGAGGGAGAAGTCGCCGATGCCACACGAAAGTTGCGTAAAAATAAGGCACCAGGAGAGGACGGTATACCCGTTGAGATCTCCAAGTCTTCTGTCGACACTCTGGCGCCGTGGCTCCATGAGGTGATTGAACGAGCGTGGAGAGACGAAGTTGTTCCTGATGACTGGGGCTTAGGCATCCTTGTACCTATCCTCAAGAAGGGCGATAAAATGAGATACGAGAACTACCGCGGCATAAGTCTCATCGACGTTGCTGCAAAGATCTTCGCAATCGTCCTACTCAGGCGATTCCAGGCTGTGCGTGACTCAAGGACGAGGCCCAACCAAGCCGTATTTCGTGCTGGACGCGGATGCGCAGACCAGATATTCACACTGAGGCGCGTTCTCGAATTTCGCCAACCGACGGCCGTCTGCTTCATTGACCTTGCCGCCGCGTTCGATTCCGTTCACCGTGAGTCTCTGTGGCGGATAATGGCTCCAGATGCTGTACCGGCAAAAGTCATCGCCATGATCAAGGCCTATTATCGCTCCACTACTGCGAGAGTCCTGGTCTGCAACAATCTTTCCCAACCGTTCGGTATTCGGTCTGGCGTCCGACAGGGTTGTATCTTGTCACCCATACTGTTCAACTACGCTATTGACTGGATTCTCGGGAGGGCCCTCCGCGAGAGTGGCGGCGTTGAATTTGCACCCGGACATCGACTGACTGATCTCGACTATGCCGCTGATATCGCCTTACTTGCTTCAAGTTTTGGTGATCTGCAGTCTATGATGTCACGGGTAAACGAGGTCGTTAAATCGGTCGGTTTGTCCATAAACGCTGGGAAGACCAAAGTGTTCTCAAGCTGCATCCCTGGCCAGGAAAAGGCACCCCTCAGGATTGATGGCTGTCAACTTGAAGAAGTAGACAGTTCTAAGTACCTTGGGGCGAGGCTGCTGCCTACTGGACAGAGCAAGGACGACATTGTCTCCCGAATCGATGCTGCCCGCTGGGTTTTTTTCAAGCCTTCGAAAATGCCTGTGGAACAGACGTGACCTCTCCAAAGCCACTAAGATTCGCGTGTACCGTGCAGCTGTCCGGTCTGTCCTTCTCTACGGTTGTGAATGCTGGGCTTTGCGCGTGGAGGACGAGCGAAACTGGAGGTATATGACCACCACTGCTTGAGGACCATCCTTCGAGTGAAGTTCACCGACTTCGTCTCAAATGAGACAGTCCGCGCTCGCTGCGACAACATCGCAAGGATAACACAGGCCATCCAAGAAAGACGACTGAAGTGGTTTGGGCATGTTCTTCGTCGTCCACCTTAGGAGCTCAGTGTTACTGCCCTCGGTCCGGCACCGTTGAATGTTATATGAATGGAGGTTGCACGGTCTTAAAAAATCCGATGGTTGGAAGCTTTTTCAAAACCGAAAGGCACTTCATCTTCGAGCATAAAATGTAAAGTCGATGCGATTTACTACCAAATGAGTAAAAGGAAGTATGTTTTTGTGCATGTTTTCTATAAAATAAGCTAAAATTTATAAATGTGATTAAACTCGCGTCGTCCGGCGGGGCCTCGTAGCTCAGGTGGTTAGAGCGTTGGCTGCGCTAAAGCCTTCCCCTTACTGCGTGGGTTCGAATCCCACCGAGGCGCCGAGTTTTTCACAGTTGGGTCAATATGAATTATTCAAAATCTGCCAAAATATCAATGAATTACGCGAGCCTGGTAGTCATCTGGTGGATTCTAGGTGACTCACCTTCGAAATCCTGCCTGAACAGTCAACTTACTGTATCAGATTTGGTGCATTCCAGACGTTGCAGTAGGTTGGGCTGGTAACTTGACCCAAATGTGATTAAACTCGCGTCGTCCGGCGGGGCCTCGTAGCTCAGGTGGTTAGAGCGTTGGCTGCGCTAAAGCCTTCCCCTTACTGCGTGGGTTCGAATCCCACCGAGGCGCCGAGTTTTTCACATTGGGTCAATATGAATTATTCAAAATCTGCCAAAATATCAATGAAAAATTTATAAAGCCATGAAAATCAATGCGAAAACTACATACTAGTTAAGTAGCCGTTTTTTATCGAGTGCAGGTTTTACAGGAGGTCGAAAAGAAGTGTATTCGAAAGCCAACATCTTCGCGAGTCCGAAATAGTACAGGATTACACCGCATGAGGGTCAATATTAAAACCCCGCCTAAGTAATCCTTCCTTATCGAAAACGCATTTGATCATTTTGGCCAACTTTCATCAGACCGGCCACTCACTGTATGGCGGAATTCGGGAATGCACCTCAGTCCGAATACCTGGTGCACACATCTATGATTAACACGGAATCCAGTCTGGTTGGGCCTCGTCCTGGAGTCACGCACAGCCTGGAATCGCCCGATAAGGACAATATCGAAAATCGCAGCGTAGATGAGGCCTATGCCGCGGTAGTTCCCACATCCTCTGTTATATCTCGAGGATAGGTACGACGGTGGCCGGGCGCCAGTCACCAGGAGCAACCTCGTCTCTCCACGTTTGTTCAATCACCTCGTCGAGCCAGGGCGCCAAAGTGTCGACGCAATACTTGTAGATTTTGGCGGGTATACCGTCCTCGCTGGTTGCCTTCTTGTTGCGTAGCCTTTGTATGACATCGGCGACTTCTCCTTCAGAAGGGGGGTCGCATGGCACTGCGTAGGTTGGAGAGAGAAGAGACTTTGCTGCAGAGGAGGGCAAGAACGTGGCGGGTTGGGCATCAAGGTTGAGATGTTGCTCGAAGTGCTCACGTCAGCGTTCGACGTTGGCTGAGTTGTCAGTAATAATGCCGCCATTCAAGTTGCGAGTGCAGAGGACTTACTACTAACTTTTCAGATAAGTTGGTAGAGTTTTCGAGTGTCACCAACGTTAGAGTCCTGTTCCATGGAGGTCACTATTTCAGCCCAGTATTTCTACCGGTCATCCCTGACCGACTTGGCCGTCAGCTTCAGGAATTGGTGGAAGGAATCATCATTACGGAACCTGGCTCGAGCCGTCTGAGCAGACAACAGCAGGATTCTTCCGCTGATCCAGTCACTGCGGTGTCGTTGGGTACATCCTAGAATTTTCTCAGCTGCCCCATAGACTGGTGTTTTCAGTGACGACCACAGGTTACTGCCTTTCCGTCAGCTTGATTCGTAAAATAGGACCGGCTTTCTCCGCTAAGGACCTTGACAGTGCTGGGTTACCGGATTTTGCGATATTGAGGCGTTTTGGACGTGGCATTTTGGGCGCCAATAAGAGTTAAACTTTCAAGCGTGTACAAACAAGGGCATGATCCGACCAATGGGCGTTGCCAGTCTCGGCACCACGCATCCATCTGCTATCGTCAGCCCAGCTGCGGAACCTTGACCTGACTACAATGTAACCAATCTGACTGGCCGAATGACCGTCGTTTGAATACCAGGTCAACAGATGTTTCTTGCTGTGCTGAAAGCACGTATTGATGACAGGCAGTCAATTCTGATCGGCAAAGTTAAGCAATCTCTCTCCATTGTCATATCGAGAACCAAACCGAAAGCGGCCAATAAGGTGACTGTTTGTAGAGCCGCTTGGTCCAGTTCGGTCATTCCAATCCCCGGCAACAATCAGCAGATCGCGACGAGGGAGTCATTTAATTAGCGCTTGCAGCTGCGAGTAAAACGCCTTTTTATCGGGGCTGTTCGGCATCTAGAGTTGGCGCGTACACAGAGACGATAGAGATTCTTCGTGAAGTGACCCTTTAATCGCACGTAGGCCATCCAGTCATGACTGGTTTCCAAGCAAGTAAAGCAAGGTCCGTTTGTTGCGAAAGAGCGATCGTCACACCATGCCTAAGAGAAGAGTACCATGGGCCGCTGTTGTACAGGGTGAAGTGTGAGTCGACTCCAGGGGTTTTTATTTTCCGAGAGCCGGAGTCAGGAAGTCGGACTTCAGACAGGCAGCAAACATCCACGTTGTACTGGTAAAGGCTGCGAGCGGTCAGACTTTGGGTTCGGGAACGTTCGCACATTCCAGCATCTAATAGCAAGAGTTCGTTCCCGGTTGAGTAGTCCAGCTCGCATACTATTCGCCAGCATCATCGGACTAGTGTTGCGGAGCGCATCGGTTCCAGCGGACGCTGTAGCATGGATCAGAATACTGCAGTCAGATGTATGTCACGAGGTTTCTTGGGAGTTTTGAGTGCAGACGGGTACCTAACAGCCGCTCAGATTGTTTGTTCGAGGTTGTCTCCTCTAGCTCTTTGGCTCAAGAGTCTAACCACAAGGCAGCGGTTGCAAGCAAACTTATTTAATGACGATTCACGGTCGCCATGTCACAATGCCGTCATCTAGCCTTTCGGCTTTTTTATAGAGCTTTCAGTGTGCCAAACCTCAGCCCTTCACACCCTTGTTTCTTGTTTGGAATTTAGAACTGCTCAAGGGAACAAAATGTGTGCTAAATAGAACTAGAGTGACTTGATGGAGGCTAGTAATTCACAATGCTTGAGGACATTATCCTTCCTGCTGCATACCGTTCCATGTCTCACCAAGGAGAAGTTTCTCGACAATTACTCTTCCCTGATACTTGCTCCGGATCCCCCAATAGAAGCTCCGAGTTGGAGCAATCTACGTATTTATCCACAGTAGGCGGGCTAACTCGTGAAATGTCAACCGAAATTCCAAAATGTGTTTTCACTTCGAAAAGATTAATTAAATGGCGTCGTAAAACAAATCATCATGCAGCATGATTCTGAAATCGATTGAAAACTGGGAAAATTATAAAGTATTCAGAGATATTTCAAGGCCAGTCTAAAACTCAACGTACTCCACTGTTGTGCTGTTATCAAGTAAACCACGTGATTTGTGTCGGAGACTCACTCAAGCAAATGTACTTACGAACTCCCCTGCTAGTTGCTGTGAATGCTTAAATTTTTATTCCTACAATTTCAGCACTATAACCGATTACCATTACTTAGTGTTGAATTGGCGGCGACAAACTATCCGTTTCGTACTTGGTCTGATCGTGCGTGGTTCTTACAGGACTACCATTACCGACGTCTCTCTTGTGCAACTCTTATGTGCACCGTTGCCGTATTGTGTTTGTTGGGATATATTTACGCACAGACAGAACTGCGGTAAAGAATCCCTTTCTGTATACGATTACTGTCTTCGGGAAAACTGATTTACTGCACCTTATTGCGTTTTCGTCTCCTGCTTCCAGCTTTCACCAGTTTCACCAAAAGCAATCAGTGATTTTTACCGCCACTAGAAAATTGGATCACCCGGTTTGTGTTCGGCGCGCGTGTCGCGGCAATCTGACAATGCATACTCCGTACTTGTCCGTGTGGGTGTCGACTGCACAGCTGCCGTGTTGGATCAAGATTATGACCACATCGGGCCATGACATGCGTTAGTCGAACTGCGCTGTCTGTGTGGCGCGACAAACGGAGTCGTTGTCCACTGATCACCCAGTCACCCGACAGACTCAGACAAAACAATGATGCTGGGGTGAGAGAGAAAAAAGAGGCCCGTACCCCAGGGATGCTTTTGTCATAAAAATCCAGCGGATGCCTCGTCCAGAAAATAGGGGTATTCGATCACAGGAACTAGAGTTTCATTCGCCTGACAGTACGGATTCACCCTCGAACTCACAATCGGGGATACTACAGGGCATGCAGTATTGATAGGACAAAGTTGTTTCGTGCGCACAGACATACTGTCGATTTGGACGATGTCCACAGTGTGCTCCACGGTAGGGTGAGAGTAGGGACGGTGACTTGCGTGTAAATTGATTTATAGTGATGGTAGACTTGCGCGGCATCTACCGCACTCTATCCTCCTTCCCCCGTCTGGGTCTGGTGTAAAGACATCGGGAGAGGGCTCAGGTGACTGGCGTGGCCGGAGTCACCCCTAGGCGTGCCACCACGCCCGAGCAGACACACTAGAACTAATGACTCCTGCACTACGCATAAGGTTTTGTGGTTAATGCGGTAGTAGCTTGATCGGCCACATCCGGGTCATTAGCGGCTGCGGTTTCATCACCGGTATGATAGAGTCAGTAATTAGACTCACTAGTTCTGTTACTGGAGGCAGTGTTCACCCGCGCCCTCCATCATGCCTACTTATGATCTGCCTGAGCGCCAACTGGGGAACTGGAGATTATTGTGCCTGTCAATGGACTGCGTGCCTAAGAATGGCAACTCAAACAGCCTGCAGGACATGCGGTTGACATTTATCGCGACGATGTCCAACCTTGTGGGTGTGGACGGATCCCCTCGAGAAAACTGTTAGCTGGCATCATTTCTCCTTAAGGCTGACACCTGTTCGTCCGCCTGCATCCAGGGTAGACTTCCTATTTCTCAGACGTTGCTTTGTCCACAACTGCGCCAGGTCCGACAAACAATGCAGACGTTTGTTTTCCTGACAGCGGGTATTTTAGCCTTTCCACTTGGCGCCTCATGATTGCCCTTATTCCCCATTCAACCCCACCTCTGAGATGCATAGGGGTGCGGTTGACGGCTACGGACACGTTCATAACGCATGGGAACGCTTTTGGAAATTTCGGTTCCATGCAGTGTGATCTCGACCCCTCTTCTCATATATTGTGTTTTAACAACCGTTTCGATTTGGTGCGTCTTACCGCACCGATCCACCGGCCTGGAGGCTCTTTTCCCCATCGCAAAGTACATGTTCTGGAAGACGGCGTTGAGAGATTCTTTGAATGCCAGCACCTGATCCTGATCGATGACGACAAAGGCACTATTCACATGCTAAATCCAGAATCAGTCTTTGCCATTGAAAAATTAGTAACTTCGACTGTTACAAGACGGGTTTGACTAAGCAGAAGCCAGCAAACTCATGGACGTGCTTTCCACCTACCCAATGATTGATTCTTCAAAAATAAAGTAAGGTTTTAGACAGAACCTCAACTCACCTACGGTGATTTTACGTCTGGTCATATTTATTCTCGATGAGTGATATAATAACCTCTACTTATCAGACCCCAGGGAATATAAGAAAAATGATGTTAGAACCGGTAGCCTTCGAAATGATTGTCTTTTTTATTTCTGAAATTTCATGCTGCAATGAAACTGGGTGAGAGAGAAAAAAGAGTTCCGTACCCCAGGGATCCTTTTTTCATAAAAATCCAGCGGATGCCTCGTCAAGAATAGGGGTATTCGATCACAGGAACTAGAGTTTCATTCGCCTGACACTGCGGATTCACCCTCGAACTCACAACCGGAGACAGCACAGGGCATGCGGTATTTATAGGACAAAGTTGTTTTGTGCGCACAGACATACTGTCGATTCAACCGTCGATTTCGACGATGTCCACAGTGTGCTCCACAGTAGGATGAGAGTAGGGACGGAGATTTACGCGTGAATTAGTTCAGCGTGGTGGTAGACTTGTGCAGCATCTACTGCACTCTATCCTCCTTCCCCCGCCCGGGTCTGGGAAGAGGGCTCAGGTGACTGTCGTGACCGGAGCCACCCCTAGGCGTGCCACCATGCCCGAACAGGCACACTAGAACTAATGGCTCCTGCACTACGCATAATATTTCGTTGTTAATGCGCTAGTAGCTTGGTCGCCCACATCCGGGCCGTTACCGGTCGCGGTTTCATCACCGATATCATGGATGGGTATGATAGGCTGAGTTATTAGACTCACTAGTTCTGTTACTGGAGGCGGTGTTCACCCGCGTCCTTCGTCGTGCCTGAGCGCCAAATAGGTAACTGGAGATTATTGTGCCTGTCGATGGACTGTGTGCCTAAGAATAGCAACTCAAACAGCCTGCAGGACATGCGGTTGACACTTGTCGCGACGATATCCACCTTGTGGAACTTGTGGGTGTGAACGGATCCCCTCGAGGAAACTGTTAGCTGGCATCATTTCTCCTTACGGCTGACACCTGTTCGTTCGCCCGCATCAAGAGTAGCCTTCCTATTTTTCAGGCGTTGCTTTGTTCACAGCTGCGCCAGGTCCGACAAACACTGCAGACTTTTGTTTTCCTGACAGCGGGTCTTTTAGCCTTTCCACTTGGTGCCTCATGATTGCCCTTATTCCCCATTCAACCCCACCTCTAAGATGCATAGGGGTGCGGTTGACGGCTACGGACACGTTCATAACGCACGGGAACGCTTGTCGAAATTTCGGTCCCCTGCAGTGTGATCTCGACCCCTCTTCTCATATATTGTTATTTAACAACCGTTTCGATTTGGTGCGTCTTACCGCACCGATCCACCGCCCTGGAGGCTCTTTTCCCCATCTCAAAGTACATGTTCTGGAAGACGGCGTTGAGAGATTTTTGAATGCCAGCACCTGATCCTGATCGATGACGACAAAGGCACCATTCACATGCTGACTCCAGAATCACAATCTTTGCCATTGAAAAATCAGTAACTTGGACTGTTACAAGACGGTTTTGACTATTTCAGAAGCCAGCAAACTCATGGACGTGCCCCCCACCTACCCAATGATTGTTTCTTCAAAAATAAATTATGTTTTTAAACAGAACCTCAGCACACCTACGGTGATTTTACGTCTGGTCATATTTACTCTCGATGAGTGATATAATAACCTCTACTTATCAGACCCCAGGGAATATAAGCAAAATGATGTTATAGCCGGTAGCTTTTGAAGTGATTGTCTTTTTGTATTTCTGAAATTTCATGCTGCAATGAAACTGCCACACTGTAAGCTGCCAAGATACGATGACAGTCATGACCTGAGAGATTTACAGATCGTCGATCCTCCTTTTGAACTTCCTCGTCTAGCCACTAGACTTTGGCATATTTTGAAATAAAGGTAGACGCAGCACATGTGTTCTTTACTATAAACAAAATTCCAGACAAGTCTCCACAACTCCCTATCCGGAACAGCGATGTTCATAGGTGTTTGTGCTAGACTATGGAATGTGTGCTTCAGTGTGCGCCCGGTGGATCGTCTGTTTGATTATTGCGTTCTGCCCTCACACCAGGAGTATGACAAACTGCCCTGATCCCGCTGGTTCTTGTAAGATCCTAAGCCAACTCTATTTCCCCCCTGTTTCGTCCAGCCTGGTCTTCGACTACCTCTTGAGACACGGTTTCTCCGACACAGCCATCGCGCTGGCGCCTATAATCGAAAACGCTCCGACAGCCCAACCCACCAAATCCGATAATGAGCCCGAGGCGTTCGGAGACGGCAGTAAGATCTCCGACTCTGCCGGCGGCGACAGTACTGCCGTCTGCGGTGCCGGTGAGGAGTGGCCGGAGTCCTTCGAGGCCGTCAAACGCCGTATCAACCTTATCCGCCTGATCGAAGCGGGGCACTTCCTGGAGGCGATCGCCGAGTTGAGCGCCAACTACGCAAATCTTGTGCACCAGGCGCCCGCTATCGTGTTCATGCTTCGGTGTCGCCACTTCATTGAAATGGTGCGTTTTTGCTACCTTATGGACATGCTGTTTAATTTGAAAAAATACCCAAAACATGCCTGAATGTGACTGTGTGTGTGTGGGTGTGTGTGTGTTTGCCCTACAACCGGACGGCGCTGCTGATGCGTTGGGCGGAAGCCGGAGCTACATGCGTCTGGATGCGGGCAGTGTGGAGTCTGTATGAGTCCTTACACGCTGCCGATGGGCTTTTAAGTCATCAGATGAATGGAAGAGGAAGGAGACAGAGAGAGGTCAATTCTTTAAAGTCCTTCCTCACTAAAATTAGCCTTTTTCTCGTTGTAATAACTCTGACGCGTTTGATTATCATGACACGCTAGAAGCCGTGGATCGGAAGACGACCAACTGACTGGATAATTCGGCCCTCCCCTGCAACGAGGATAGAACTGCAATGGCTCCTTGATATGGCATTTATGGTATACCTAACTTCTATGAGATCTGGTGTCTTTCACGGCGAGAGAGGTGAATCAAGGTAGTATCCAACAATCTCTTTTTAAAACTCCCGGAACGCGATAACAGTCGTGGCTTGGATCCTACCTGACTCTTAAGAACGGACTATTACTACCTCACAAGTGTTGACCACCACATTAGTGCATAAACATTTGTTCATACTGAAGGTTAACGCATAAAACAAGACTTTCTTTTCCGCGGGAATGGTGTTCTTAAGGTGACGTCCTTAAAACTGGACAAAAGCCTCTCAAAGAAAGGTGAAAGTAGGAAATCACATCATCTTCATATTTTATGCCGGAATAACGTGTGTATTTAGGCTTTAAAAAGTTTCTAATTATGAGATTTTTAAGACCGTGCGATGTCCATGCATGCAAGACCGCACATGTCCGTTTACTAATGCTCCTCGTGAAATGCACAACACAGTCCGGATTCATTGCAAAATTTCATGAACTTTTTGTGCTATCTTCTTAAAGGCATAGAGGGATATATGATTTTCCTTACGCGGAAAGCTTATACCTTGTAGATTGAAATTGCTAAATGCTGATGCAATGACAGATTAGGCTGGAAATTATTCGGGAATTGGGAAATTTTTGTTAAAACCAAAATACAAACTTTCTTCGGGCATAAAATATGAAGACAATGTAATTTCCTTCCAACTGAGCAAAGAAAGCATATTTTCGTGCATGTTTTCTGTAAAATATATTTGAATTTGTAAGACTATCGAAAATTAATAGGAAAAATGCATGCTACTTAAGTAGCCATTTCCCACCGAGTGTGGTTTCTGCAGGAGGTCAAAAAGAAGTGCATTCAAAAGCCGACATCCTGGCGAGTCCGAAACATTATAGGTTTATGCTGCATGACAATCAGTCTAACAACCCCGCTTAAGTAATCCTTCCTAGTCGGAAACGCATTCCAGTGTTTTGACCAACATTTCATGAGATCGGTCACGCGCTGTAGTTAAGGACTTGAGCTTAACCCAGAATGATTATTACATCTTGGGATATATCTGCTTGTCGCTGGTTTTTACAACAGTACCTTCTGCGTGGCGTTTTACCAGCCTATGATTAGTCTCTTCGGCGCCAGTGAAGAGAACCACTAGTGTTTCAAGAAGGGGCGTTAATTCAAAGCGAGTCCGGAGCCGCATCGACCTCATTCTCCCCCACGCCCACCGCATTCCGTTGGCAGAACACAGTCCGGACGGCCGAAGGTGTGTGGACGTGGGTACACTGGCCGGTATTTTGTACCGTCCCACGACGTTCGTTTTCTGCCAGTATTCGTGTCATATGCCCGTAGCCTGTCGTAATGAGAATTCATATTGACCCAACTGTGAAAAACTCGGCGCCTCGGTGGGATTCGATCCCACGCAGTAAGGAGAAGGCTTTAGTATACAGCCAACGCTCTACCCACTTGAGTTACGAGGCCCCTCCGGACGACTTGAATTTAATCACATTTGGGTCAAGTTTACTCGCCCAACCTACTGCAACGTCTGGAATCCACCAAATCTGATGCAGTAAGTTGACTGCCCAAGCAGGATTTCCAGATGACTACCAGGCTCACGTAATGAGAATTTTTTCAGGTCATTGCCCGTCAGAGAAGATATTACCGAATATTTGAAGCATTTTGTCTCCGGTATACATTTAAAACAGGCGTAAACAAGAGAATCTGCTGGTACCAAACAGTTTCGCGACAACTGACAAACTGATACTCTTCGCTGCCGACATACAGTATAACAAATAAGGAGTTGCAGCAAGTTGGATTTACTCAGAAGATGAGTGCGAAAACAACAAGGTCATTGGCCAATGCACACAGTTCAGCTGGTGAAAGGGAACAAATTAAAGCGCTTTTAGAGGAAGGAAATGGAAGGGCTAATCCATAAAAGGTTATACAACTCTAAGGACTGGGGATTGCTTTTCAGCAATTGGGCTGTGTGCTTTGAAGAATGACCTTGTTGATTTCGCATTGATCGTCTGTTTGAATTCCACTTTATTAGTTATATTTGTTATACAGCGACGGGTAGCAGTTGACAGACTGTTCTGACATTCATCGACATCAGTAAATTCTACTGTTTACTCCAGTTTTAAATATTAACGAACACTAATGCATAAAATCTGCACACAGATGGTGTCGTAAATGGCAGTGGTCTGACAAGAAAACTTGGCAGCTATGAGGAATTTGACCAGACATGTTTATCTGTGATCGTTCTACCCTCCTGACGGGTCATATTGTTTTTTTTACGATGACACAAGTGTATCGGACACGGATTTTCGAATGGTTATGAACAACCACCAGTAAGTCGTATCATATCTGTCGTTATGAGCAGTTTATCTTAAATAAACGTCCTAGCAGACACCCCATCCTTGCAGCCAGCTTTGAGGAAAAACGGCTATTTCCGCTTAGTTCGTTCCCACTAAGCACAACTGACACGAAGCTTCTATCTCGTCTACAAGAAAATCAGCTCATTTTTCGCCTGTGTATCGGCAGAAATCTTAGCTTATATTGCCCTGCGTGACACAGCACAGATGGTATCGATTTCCACACGGCTACTGCGGCAATTTCCGCTCTTTCCCCCCCGGTCTCTGACATCAGCGTTGAACCCGCAGAGCGGCAAACACTGTCGCCACACAGTCCACCAGCAACCACAGCGATGTTTGTTGCTGCTACATGATACCCGACAAGCCCTGCGCGCTTGCGTCTTTGTCTGTCTGCCTGTCTGTCTGTCCGGCGTATGTGTAGTCACGTTTTTTTTTCTACCAACATTCGCCTCCCTCTGGTGATGATGTCCACCTTGCCCTCGCGCATACACGCGCGCGCGCTCCCAGATCTCTGGAAGCGGTCAGTAATGCGTCTCTCCTGTTTAAGAGGACTTCCGACCTCCGCCATCGTCATCGTCGTCGCCCCCTTCAAACGCGCTCATGTGGGCGCTTGCTGCTGGCGGCACATGCGTGACGAAGTAATCAATGTGTCCTCCGCACACACACACACGCATTACCTTCGCCCTCCCCAAATTTATTGTCACAACCGGCTTCCTTCTCAAGGTTGCACTGCAAAAAAGTTCAAACCAGCCTGCCGCGCCTTGAGCTCTAATGCCCCCGCCCCCGCCACACTGCTGCTGCTGCTGTGTACGCGTCGCCTCCGCCTAGAAAATCCAAAAACATGTGTGCGCGCGTCTGAGCGAGTGCGAGCTGTGTGAGAGAGATCGTGAAGGAGGCAGGTTTCGTCCTCGTTGGCATGACCTTCACGTTCCACCGGTAGACAGCTGATCGTCCTCGCTCCTTTTCACAGCTACCTTGTATCCTGCAACTCCTGTGTGTACACTGAGCGCACGGTGGTTGAAGCAGCTCAACTAGGGCGTCTATTTCTGCCCCAACTGACCCATCATTCTCACCTGTGGGGAAAAAGCGTGCCTCCTGGTTTGCTTCAGGCATCTCGTGGGGCTGGAGACGTCCCGTCGCACACGTCATTTGCGCTTGCGGCTGGTAAACGTGCGAGAGGAAAATCTCCAAAATAACGGGTTGGAGAAGGGGACTACACACAGATTCTATAGTTCGACCATCGATTTTGATGATGTCCACCGTGTGCCCCTCCTCAGCTGAGGTGGGAACAGGGAAGGTTACTTGTGCAGGGGTTTATAGTGCCAGTAGACTTGCACTGCATCTACCTGCACCCTCTCCTCCGCCCCCGCCTGTGCCCGGTGTCAAGACAGAGTCAAGAAGACCGGAGACGAGGGAGGCCGCAGGTGGATGGCTCAGACGGATACTCGCCTTGGCGCTCCACTCCGCACCCCCGGATCCACACACAAATGACCAGGATTTTTACCGCCACAACAATGGAGGGCTTGGCAGTGATCCCCGTTGTGTAACGACTGTCGAAAACAGGGACTGCCAGCGCACCCTCTAGATGTTGGCATTTGCTATGGCGCACAGATAGCGCCTGCCAGAATCCGATGTGGTCCCCGTGTTAGTCCAGCGCATCTAACACGTGGCCCGTGTGGAGGGCACACACGGGGCTGCAGACGTCCCGTCGCACACGTCATTTGCACTTGCTGCTGGTAAGCGTGCGAGAGGAAAATCGTCAAAATAATGGGTTGCAGAAGGGGACTACACACAGATACAAGGGAGACGTAAATGGTCGCTTCTGGCCGTTCCGCCCCCAGACAGTCTACTGAGGGGAGTTTCGACAGATTGGGCTGACCTTGAAGAAGGAGACACGATCGCCGGGACAAGAGCTTTAATAGCCTGACGTTTCGGTTTCCTACTCGAATCCATCATCAGATACAAAAAAGCAGAAACGGGTGGTTGTTGCACAAGGGGCTGCGGTATTTATAGGATGCAGTAGCCATGCTACCGCATACCTATGAACATTCACGGCTCCCCCATTTCATCTTGTCCCGGCGATCGTGTCTCCTTCTTTAAGACTTCTTCCTGGGACTTGTCTCTTCGCTTCTATTTGCACTGGGCTGACCATTTGTGGCCGTCGTCAACCAGCCTTACCCAAACGCAGGTTCTGACTCGCCTGAGCTTCGACCCCGCGTTCTTTGGGCATCCAACGTCAGTAACCCCAACGCTCTCAAGCCAGGGGCTCGTTGTTCTGCCGATTGCGATCGGGTGTACTAACTTATATTGGAAGTGCGCCGCTCACTGATCGAGTTATGGGGTCTGCTCGCCCTGTTATGCCTCGGAACCCACTAGCCCTAACTGACAACGGCCAATAAGGCCAGAAACGGTCATCACGAAGAAGGAGACACGCTCACTGCGACAAGACTTTATTCGCCTGACGTTTCGGATTCCTGCGCAAACCCATCATCAGAGGCAATAACAGATATGCGTCTTTGTCGGGAGTCCTTTTAACATGCTTTCCTGGTAGCCATGTGACAGTCTGCGAGGGATCTACGTTGAGCTCCAAAGCGCAACGGACAAGTAGGTCCCGTAAACCTATAGATGAACGCACTGACAACATCCATCCTCCTTTTGGAAAGACTGGAACTTAAATCCGGGTTCAAATGACTAAAACTCCAACACTCCATCGTGATATCACGGGCCCACATTCAGTTGGATGCGTTTGGGGTAGATAGGTGAAAACCACTTTGCCATTGCTCTAGATGTACCAGATCGCAGCCGAAAGGGTCTGAGCCTGTGGATCAACGCTCATCCAGTTCACTAACTAAAAGTTCTCGGTTCGGACCTTGGTCTTCCTGACGCAGGGTTGAGTATTACTTGTCGAGGAGAGCGGATAAGCCAGAGGTATCAGTCGGACCACGAGAGGACAGTATTTATTGATAAGAAGACACAGAATTCTCTTCCCTTTAAGGTTCTTGTAGAAAAAACTTAGGTTGGTTGTTTTGCTTGGAGTGTCCCAACACCAACTTTATGGGGAAAAACTGAAATTGGGCATTTGGGAACTAATAGCAACCAAACTCTGCCCCACGATCCGAAACGCCTGCGTGGGCATGACCTCCCATCATCAGCCGGCTGTAAAGTATGATTATCTCAGGGAGCAACTTCCTTTTCGGCGTAAATGATAAAAGACGGAATGTAAAACGTGCGAAGTTAGACCTATTTCTTAAACGTGAGGAAATCCAGGAGACGATAATGACTTGGGCGAAACGGTTTGAAAGAACTCCGATAGTTCGACAATCGTAAGTTTGGAGTTCCGCCACCGCCTCATAAATGGGGCTTGAATTGCGCTACATTCTCCTCCTCCTCCTCCTCCTCCTCCTCCTCCTCCACCTCCTCTCTCCCTCCTCCCTCCTCCTCCCACCCCCTTCTCATACTCCCTCCTCCTCCTCCTCCTCCTCCTCCTCCTCCTACCCCCTATCTCTCTCTCCCTCCCTTTCTCCTGCCAGATGGCGCGCTGACTGACGAAGTAGACGGTCCGCCTCTGTGTGCCGTACACGATCGTGTCCCCAACTCCACATGGACCAGGCCTCACGCAGGAGGGTCTCAGATTGCACACAAGTGCAAGTGCCGTAAAGTGCGCATTAAGAAAGCGCCATTGAGGGATGGGCTTCAGTCCTGAATGGAACTGTTAGTGCGTTGGGATAGTGCGTTTTCTTGGATAGTATAAATAAAGAAGCGCAGGATTTGAGCTGAGTGTGCTTCATAATCTTACCCCTTTCCCGTACCTTCGTTACCCGTCCTAGTAAAATCCACTGGAAATGAGATTGGGCTCAGTGACTGACGCGAAGTCTCCGTTTAACGGTAGTTCCCCGTCATTACCGACGTCGGCGAAAACACCACATTAGGATTGATGCATGAGTAATGAGTGGTTTTAGCATCTACCTGTTTGACGAGAAAGGGTCATACGGTAACTGTATGCGTGCAACCAATTGCGTGTATAATGAATGAAATTTTAGTAATGGTCTTCCATGTGTGTATAATCGAAGAGGTCCATGCGGTGGCTGAATGTGCGGGTACAGTGTGGGCGGGAGAGGCGGACGTGGCGAATATATATTGGTTAGATCTCGAGGCACTGATCCTCCAGGGCCAAGTCAGTCCCGATGATATCGACCATATACCTCTTACTCTGATATCTGTTACCACCATTCGTTGTCAATTCATACAAGATCTTCAAACCCATTTGAAGAAGGTCCAATACGCAACGGGACACTGACTGGTTTAGATACATTGAGGAAATATGGCCTGTCTGATTTTGTGAATGGCCTGATTAAAGAAGGAAGCCGAGAAAACCTCTAGCGCAAATGCAGTAGCCATTTGACATTTGAAACACGTGAAGCCGATGTTCACTGTCAAATTCTAAACGGCGCAACGAAAGAAAACTGGACTTATTTGGGTTGACTTTATCTTGAGATGATTGTCTTACGTCTAATGTCTTGATTGATCTGCCCTATCATTGGCAGCGACCTGGCTATGGCATACGTCGGTTGAACTTAGGGGCTGACTGCTCAGCTCGATGGTTTGCCATCAGACTCGTCAGACCCTCTGTTCGACCCATCCGACGATATCAATAGCCATGTCACAGCCGTCATACCGTATTATCTGTGTCGGTAGAGGTATAGGACTCGATTGACCGGGCATAATCAGCTCACTAGGTGAAAATTCTGTCCCCCTTCCCGACCTAGTTTTAGTTTTAGTCACGAAAAGGGCCATTTTAGATAACTGTCGTGGTTTTTCACCCGTTGACGGTAGACCCTTCAATGCTTTCAAATGGTAATTTACGATCTATGAAGCATGTCCATGCTGAAGGTGTGTAGCAGTCAATAGAGGCCCTTGGAGACCACCCTGACTTGATTCCACATTCCGTCGTCAGAAAACTCAGCAGCATCAGCCATTTTCGTCTCTTTTAGTTTAGCAGAATGTTACGAGTAAAAGCGACATGGACTGCAACCTGGCAATTCAGCGTCTTATCGTTCGGCTGGTCCCAATTGCTCTGAGATTACGATTGCATTGTAGGCAAGCCACAATCCCATCCATATATTTACCGTTGAATTTCCACCGATACCATTTGCTCACCGGGGCTGGAATCCGATTCGGGTAAAGGCTATCGAAGCATCGAGCTCCGTTTGTAATAAGTCTTATTACTTTGTTAATACGTTTGCGCGCATATGCCCTGGTAAAACTTCCTCAGATATATGTAGAGTCGCTGAGATACTCATCCGGATCGCAGGCTTTTTATACATGGGTGCATGATAATAGAAAGAGAGAACGAAGCTGATACTCCGATATCCTCCCTCACACTTTGGCACATTCCCACGAATAATTTGAATGTGCTTGAAATTACTACAATGCTTCAAAAATCGTGGCTTGGAAGGTTCTCAGTATTGAGAGTGCCTACACTCCCAAAAACAAGAGCCAGCCAATCACTGCAGGCCACGTACGCCTCCTCTAGCACGCTGTCAGCATGATGATAGCGCCTTGCTATCGGCCGCTTCCCTCGATACTGATTGGTCCGTGTATGCAAAAGATCGATCAGCTCGTCAGCTCGCATTGGACTGGATGCAGGCAAACCCTAGTATGATATTATAAATACGTGTTATTTTTCCAGTTAGAATGACTTTCAGATCTTTAATACAGTTTTCCGTGGTCGGTCGTGGTCTCCTTCTCTGCCACGTTGGTTACGGGGACAGCAGTGGAGTGCGCACACGCTTTGCGTGATCTCTGACTGTCAGACCGGATCGTAACGAGGATCAGACTGCAATGGCTCCGTCCTAATGTAGCTCATATGAAACTGCCACGTGTATGAGATCCCGGGGAAGAAAGAGTGAAGCTGACCCAGACGCTTATTCCGCACTACTAAACAACCACACCGGATTTTAACCTATAACGATACACCAACAATTCCGGGGTTTGGAAAATTGCAAACTGGAGGACGACTCGGTCCTGCCCAGGACCAAGTACCAGTACGTAATTGTTACTTAATGTGGCCTTTATGGAAGTCTCAGTGAAGCAAAATTCAAGAACCCCTATTGAAGCCTGACACACGCGAAGTTGAGCTCTGGATCGTTTATAGCACGCGCAAACTGTCTGTTCGAAACTTTTCACTCACTACGCCTACGCCCAATTCTGATGGCTCTAGGACTGGCATACCATCATAACGCTGTAGCCGTCGCAAGAGTGAAACGAGGTCTATTGCACGTAGCGTGCTTCACTGTAAAAAAAAAAGAAATCACGCGCAGGTAATCGCCGCGCCCAATTCGGAGCACTGTTAGTCCGCAGCGCTTGCGATGTCTGTACTCTCGTCGACACTGCTGTTTTTTAGCTCCCGTCTGGAAAGCCTCTGTTTTTTGTCCTTGAAGGGAAGTCAAAAAGTGGTCTGTCGCTCTCCTCCATCCTAACGCAGAAGAATTTTTGTAGCTCTGTGTACATGGGTGTGTGCACGCCGCCAATCGTGGTCGCAACTACGCTGGCGGACATGTGGGCTTCCTTGATTGGCTACTGTGGAGGTCACTGGCGCACGTGCCTGTGTGGCCACGTGCCGTCTACTGCGAAACCATCAGATGCTTCTCTACGTGTGCCGATCGACCCTCCTAGCCACTGACCTCAGGCCGTTTCAAGGCCTTTTTGGCCTTGACGCTGGGGCTATGCCGTACCCTCTCTACTATACTTTGATTAAATTCACAGCCACGTTCTCTACTATCGTTCCAAGTTTTCGTCTTCTCAGTCACGTTTTATCACACTTATACTCAGCTGTTATCCCTCTACACGAGTTATAAGACTTTGAAATCTAAAAGGGTGACAATCGGGAGAGGGCACCCAAAAAAATACTGCCGGCCAAAGCAGCGATCTTATCGCAACTGTCCTAAGCTATGCAGCCATTGACTGAGCCGCACACTGGCGACTGCGGTAGCTCCCGACCTCTGGAAGTAATGGTGAAAATTGATAATCCAAGTGTTCGGTCAACGGCGATCGTATTGCAATTGTCCGTAGGTAAGCTACTATAGAATAATCCGCATAGGGACTACTGCGGTCGCTTGTCAGCAGTGGAAGCTTATATTAAGGTTGTTTAACGTAGAGTGGGTCTACGGCGATCGTTTCGCAACTGTCCAAAGGGTATATTGCCATAGATTGAGCCGCATACCTACTACTGCGGTCATTCCTCACCTAAGGAAGAAATGGTCATAATGGATAAGCCAAAGGGTCAGTCCACAGCGATTGTTTCGCAAGTGTTTGAACGTATGCTACCGTAGATTAAGCCGCATATGTACTACTGCGCTCGCTCTCCAGCTGTGGAAGCTAATGTCAAGGTTGGTAAAAAAGGGATGGGTCTAAAGCGATCATTCCCCAACTTTCCCAAGCTATGCTGGTCTAAAGTAAGCCGCAAACGAACTAATGCCGTCGCTCGTGACCTAAGCAAGCATATGTGTAGGATGGCAGACCAATGGTCAGTCTACAGCGATCGTTTCTCATTTCTCCTAAGGTATGCAAGGGTAGATTTAGCTGCAACCCCAATGCTGCAGTCACTCTTCAGCCGTGTAAGCCTAGGCCAAGGTTGATTAACCATGGCTCGGTCTGCAGTGGTCGCATCTCAAATGTTGGAGACTGTGATAATCTAATTGGGGCAACATGTGCACTGCAGATCAGATAAAATTGAGGTCGGATGAAAGAACAAATATGTAGGGCCACAACCTACTCAAATAGGTGTACCAAGTATTATTTCTAGACAACGGACATTTGGGTGCCCTCTCCCGATTGTTACCATACTCGTGCCCAGAGAACTTGGACCTTTTTGGCCTTGACGCTGTGAATATGCCATACCCTCTTACTTTATTATACTTTGATTACATTCGCAGCCACCTTCTCTACTATCGTCCGAAGTTTTCGTCTTGTCAGTCACGTTTTATCACACTTATGCTCAGCTGTTATCCCTCTACACGAGTTATAAGACTTTCATAGATATTTTGGCAGATTTTGAATAATTCATATTGACCCAACTGTGATTAAACTCGGCGCCTCGGTGGGATTCGAACCCACGCAGCAAGGGAAAGGCTTTAGTACAGCCAACGCTCTAACCACTTGAGCCACGAGGCCCTGCCGGACGACGCGAGTTTAAGCACAGCTGGGTCAATATGAATTATTCAAAATCTGTCAAAATATCTATGAATTGCGTGAGCCTAGTAGTCATCTGGTGGATTCTAGGTGAATTACTTCGGAAATCCTGCTTGGACAGTCAGCTTACTGTTTCAGATTTGGTGGATTCCAGACGTTGCAGTAGGTTGGGCGGGAAACTTGACCCAAATGTGATTGAACACGCGTCGTCCGGCGGGGCCTCGTATCTCAGGTGGTTAGAGCGTTGGGTGTACTAAAACCTCCCCATTACTGCGTGGGTTCGAATCCCACCAAGGCGCCGAATGTTTCACAGTTGGGTCAATATGAATTATAAGACTTTGAAATCTAAAAGCAGACTTCGCAGAAACTAGTCAAATCCATGGCCTCAACGTCCCCCTTCTCTTTTTTCTGCTTTATGCCTCATAATGTATCTCATAAAATAAGACAATCTCCTTCTATACACACATTTGTCGCTCGTTATGGTCATAGTATTACGGATTTTACGTTTTGCCTGCGCGCTTCGGTAGATACTCATGCCCAGAAAGGCTGGACACTTCCTTGAAGAGGAAGTTCTGTTGACGTAGCTGCTAGTTGCCTAACTCATGGATGCCCCTTAGTGAACGTTTGATACGAACTAGGCAGATTCCTGGGACTAAATTATAAACAACTACAGGCCAGATGTGGCAGTGCTGCCTGAAGGTGATTGATTGGCCGTTGGTGCGCTGATTCCACAGCAAGCGGCCGCAGTGTCCAATGGTGGCCATGTGGTGATGATAATTAGGCAAAAGTATTTACCAATGTCTTCATGCTACCGTCGCCTTGAGGGATTGGATATCCATTAAAAACGCATTCGTGATAGTTGATCTGTCGCAGGCGCACTTCTTGGTGATGTGAGAACCAAGAGCCAAACCATTCGAGTATTGTTGTCATTCAGTGTGGAAGTCGCCGCTCCCTCCGAGTTGTTCCTGCCAGACCATTGTCGGGCTGCTGGACACCAGACGAGGCTTCAGCTTATTTCCATGGTAGTCACTGATGGTGATGCTAAAAGTGCCCTTGCAGTTGTTCGGGTCAGCCGAAATTGAATTTTCGACAAGATTGCTACTCGCTTGTTTTAAGTACCCACTGTTTTACTATCTTCATAGGCTTTCCGCTGTAATGCCAACGGGATTTCAAGCGAGGTTTCTAAATCAACTGATAAACCACCGCCCAAGACCTGTCACCATAATGGCTCTCAGAAGAGGACCCAGCCATCTAGCTCACCGGAATGCTCACCCGAACTTCTGCCCTCTCTGAGTTCCCGTCGCTGTGAGGCGCCGGCACCTGTACGCATGAAGTTGGGCAGCGAGGACGAATTCTTTACAGACACTGCGTATTCGGATGACTTCAGGCAACTCTTCGGTGACTCACAGGAGCAGTTGGAGGAGGATATTGGAGTCTGTGGGACGACTGAAGGTTCCGTCATGGTTGCTGAGACTCTCCATACTAATATAGTACGTAGTTGGATTACTTGCTTGCCACATATGCGACTGTGTGTTTGTGCGACTTATAAGTACCCGACAAAGGGGTTAGCTCATTCTATTTTCCATAAAATGCGTTCCGTCCCGCGGCCTTTCACTTACCAATACGAAAATTCGAAAAAACCTAGCGCTCCGTAAAAAAGCGCTTGTGAAAAAACGATTTGTTCAAATTACTTAATCCAGTAATATTATAGCCTCGGATGAAGAAATTCAAAACAGGCGTGATCTCCCGCTAAACTGTTTTAACAACTAGACAGTTTTACAAACCCTCCTAACAAAGGGAGCGATCTTGATATTGACACTGAAAATTAGTCTCAAATTTGCAAATTTTCTTCGAGTGACATGGAATCGGGTGCCTTGAAAAATCCTAAAGCGTAAACCTGCATGCTGTGGTATATGCATCTGAATTAGTTTTTTTCGGATAATATACTTTTAATTTCGGTCAATTTTTTACGATTTCTGGGGCATGTAGTGCTACAGTTCATGGACACAAGGACTTTGCACTCGAAAATACAGTAGAAATGCCATCTCATGAAATATTAACCGAAATCCTAAAATACGTCTTTGATTAGAAAAAAGTACTTAAACGGGGTTTTAATATTAGCTATTCTCCAACATAGCCTTAAATGTGCTTCAGTCTCGTCAGAATGTCAGCTTTTGAACGAGCTCTCCCGGCTGTCCGCAAAAACTGCACCCTAATCAAAGTAGCTAATTATGTAGTATGATTTTTCCCGTTCACTTTCGATGTCCTTTTCAATTCGAATATATATCATAGAAGACACACACACAAAAGTATTCCCTCTTTTACACCTTCGTCCAATTTTTGTCTTGACGGACGAGTAATAAAATAAGCGTAGGAGAAACAAAAATTCTTGATAACTAGGTCGGCATGCCAGCATGCTGCAAGAAGACCTCTGAAAGAATGGTTAAAGGCAAGGTAATAACGCACTCTACTAATTTGTCAAACTGCGGCGATGTAAAAGACTGCCTGTATTGTTTGATGAAATCGAACACATGGCGCGCTAACACTTCTACCACACATTCTTCCTTACTTGCAACTCCAGTCTATTGTTATCTTGGTAAGGCTTTTATTGAAGTTGCAATAAAGATATCATAGACCCGGTAAATTGGATTTACGCTATTTGTGAAAAAAACATCTGGTAGTACCCTTGCATTTGCTTATTAGCATATTTGATAAATAAATGAACCCCATTCTAGAAAATGCTTTCTGTAATCTAGTTTCCTAGTTTTGAAGTCTGCTCTCATAGTGACATTGAGTATTAGCACAACAAACTGTCTAAAGTCTGATTAGGAACGTTTCATATCTTCACGTAACTTCAATCGGACAGGCGCTCGTCCCGCGAGTCCCCTTGACAGCAAGAGCTTCTTAAATGTGTCAATTGCGTAGTAACTGATAGCCTGCTTAAGAAGTATGCTGTCCGGTACGGTTTTCAATTTTGTCGTTTTGTGATCTCCGTATGACCGTCCCTAGTGTTTGGTGTACAAGTTTATGCTGTTCACATCACACACCGGCCCGGTCGGTCGTTTACTAATCCCTCCCACTCTGTCTCGGCGCTCAACATACACTCGTCCCTCTCACCTGCCCACATTCACAAAAATACTCAGAGGAACAACACGATCCGAAACCTGTCATTACACCTTTGCCCACCTACACACATAACCTGTGCTACATAGAAACCTCAAGTGCCCTAAGCTCTCCAGAAATCTTAGCCACCCGAGCTCTACAATGTTAGTGTCCTGCGATCGCGCAATGAACCGGTTGTCCCCAGTGTGCAACCCGACATTTTTGCCTTTTGGTTTCCTAGCATATCCTGTTAGTAGCCATGCTTCCCTGCAGCTAGTAGTCTTTTATACAGTCTTATACCCTCCTCCATTTTTGATCTGTCTGCAGAATGGCTTTGCTGCCAAAAAGCGTGAGGCCGCTAAACGCGCCCTTTCGCCTGTGGTTGCCACTGTGCACGAAACCGCCACTGCCACCGCCGCCGCTGAACTCTACATGAATGGAGATGGACATACTGCAACCTCGCTGCCACCCGCCCTACCACTGTCCAATGGCGTCAGTGCAGGACCGCCGGCAAAACTGCCTAGCCTCCCAGTCGGCATGTCCGGCGGCCCCGCGGTGTTTGGCTTGCAGGCCACGGGCAGTGTACTACAGCAGGGCAGTCGCGACTCGCAGCAGCAGATGGAAACAACCGGCGAGAGCACGAGCCTCAAGCAGGCGGAACCGGCACAAACCAGTCTCCGTGACTTGTTGGACTACGGCCGTGCCCTTCGAAACCTGGCACAAGATCTCAGAGCCAGTGGACTGATCAGCTTTGCACAACTCTCCCTCATGGAGGTAGGCAGACTCACTCCTTGCGCGTCATTGAGATCATATCTCTCTAGCAGCCAAGCGATCATTAAAAAGTCAAACAGCTTCGAACATCGGGGCGAATCGTAAGAATCAGAAGCGTATAAGTTGAGTAAGTAATCAGAAAAGAGCAAATTTGTGCGAACTGCAAACTAGATAAACCCCCAGTGGACTGTAAAACATGTTCATACAGAACATGGTTGCTGATTCGTCTGTGCTTGCTGAGCCTCAGACCTCTGTTGGCATTATTCCGTGCAATGGTAGGAGGCGCTCACCGACCGTTCTTACGGAACTCACTCGTTCCGCTGTGCCTTACGGGCTCTCTCTCGAGCCCAACAAGCAGCCGCACAACGGCGCATGATATATAGGCAGTATGTCATTGCCGACAAAGACAAGGGAGACCGGAAATGCCATTGTTGGGTTAGTAGCCGTTGTCAGCCAGTCCTACCCAATCCCGAAGTGTGGAACATCCGAGGCTCGAACTCGCGACCTATTTATTAGAAGTCAACGCCTCTAACCACTGGACCACGAGCCCGTTGCCTTGTAGGTTTCGATCGGGAATATACCATGGTAGGAGACGCTCACCGTAAATTACGTCTCGTATGCGCCAGTCATCTCATCAATCTTCGAGTTTGGTAAAAAAAAATGCGGAACACATGCTGCGGTAACTTGTGCCCCCCCCCCCTTCGTTATGATGAGGGTAATGCGGATAATTATACACTTCCTGCGCGTATGACGGTGCAGGGTATCACCCAAGTAGCTTGTGCGTATGCACTCATCGCACACACAGTGGTGTACTCATAGTTCTTAGCTCTGAATTTCTCTCGCACATCGATCCGTATATATCCGTGTATCGCGCCCACGAACACGTCTTCTGTCTGTCGTTAAAAGTGTACGTGGAGAGCACTTTACCAAAGACGGCTACTGCTTAATAGGACCAATATACGTCGTTTCTGATCTGTAATGTTTTAGTCACCCTTCCTCGCCGTTATCGTTTTTTCTAAATAACGAATGTGTTTCCCCTGTTTTTGTTAGTCGCACGTTGGGCGAGGTTTTCAAGGCTTAACCTCCCCTGAGTTCGAACTGTTACTGTCCTGAGAACTTGACCCCTATTTCGTACTAAGTGGTACGCTAGAGTTTCCAGTGTATGTGTTATCTTGTGAAATTTTAACCGTAATTTTGACATGTGCTTTCGATTTAAAAAGCTTGTTATATTGAATGTCGTGCAACATAATCCTAAAATATTTCAGTCAACCCCAGGATGCTGCTTTTTGAATTAGCCTCTTTTCGGTCGTCTTCGGAGGCTATACTTTGTAAAAAACGATTACTGAAGTAATATGAACTTCTATCGTTGCTTTTCGGTGTCCCTTTAAATTCACCGTTATTTTTGTAGAAAACGTGCACAAAAATATTCTTCTTGTGCCCTTTTGGCAGTAAAATTACATCCTCTTCAAATTTTGCACTCAAAGGAAGGGTATCTTTTGGTTTTTAAAGAGGTTTCTTGTTATAAATTTTCTATGACCGTGAAGTGTCCATTCATATGCCGTCGCATCAGCTCATCTGATCCATATCCATTACACAATTGTATAAGTGCTATAGGACGTCTTCCTAGGCGCGTAGATGAAAGATATTCCTCTGGCGGAATGTATACAGCTTGTAGTTTGGAAACCCTAAATGCAAGTACAACGGTAAGTGGGGCACAAGATGATTTGGAGATAAGGACAGTTTTTTTAAACTGAAAGATGCTCTTTCTTTGAGTATGCAATTTGAAAAGGACGTAGCTTGTTACCAAGGTAGTACAAGAGCGAATATTTCTGTGCACATTTTCCGTAAAATAACCGTGAATTCATAGGAATATCAAAAATCAACAAGAAAAGAGTATATTACTTAATTAATTATTTTTGGCAAAATGTAGCTTTTACAGCCGACTGAAAACAGCTCATTCACAAGCCTTCATCCTGGGGTGACTGAGTTATCTCAGGATAATGCGGCACGATAATGAATATTACAACCCTACTTAAGTAATCTTTTCAAATCGAGAGCACATCTCAAGATTTCAGTTGACATATCGTGAGAATGCACATCCACTGTAGTACCTCCAATGCAGCTGGTAACCACATGGACAGCTCTGATAAACCCGTGAGTTGCTCCATCCATGGACTGCGTATTTCTACTGAAAATATTGATCTTTCGAATGCAATTTCTTTCATTTGTTTACTGAATGACCCAATTTCAAAAGTGTAAGGTCTGCGCAGAGTAGCAAGTTCGCTTTAGTGGGGGAGGGGGCCTGCCTGGCAGCGAATCGAGCCTCAACAGCGGTTTCAAAGATTAGCCTCTTACGCTTCTTAGAATGGGTTCACACAGCAGTACTTACTATGACTTTTTCCTTCTAACAATGACTGCGTGAGTAGGTGGTACGCCTAGGTGCGGGTCCAGCTGTGCCAGCCACCGGCGCCCCCTCCCGCCTCCGATCTCCTCAACTTGGTCTTGACACCAGGCTCAGGTAGGGGAGGAGAGAGTGCAGTAGATGCCTCCCAAGTCTACTTTCACCATAAACTAGTTCACGCGCAACTCACCGTGCCTGCTCCACCTTGCTGTGGAGCACACGGTGAACATCGTCGGATGCGACGGTTGAACTGTCAAAAACGGGGATCGTTCATGGTGGCGTAGTATCTTAACTAGCAAGTTTCGCCTCTTCTTAAGCAACTGAGAGGCTTTCTAATTACTCGGAAATAAAACCCTACAGGAATGTCTTTTTGAACTGCAGTCGAAAGATGAATGTAGACATCGTTTCGAGTGCTTCTGTTTTGTGAACTCAGTTTTATGTCGAAAGACACAGACAGTAAAAAGCAGCTGCACAGCATAGCCTTGTTTTCAGCCAGTTCAGGATTTATCACTTTAAATTGGACGATTTAACTAATTTCGGATAAGCAGTAGAAACTGCTGTGGGTACCCTACTCCAGCTTATCGACGCAGGTCCTAGTTTGACCAAGCAGCATTTAGTAAAACGGCTTACTGGCTCAGACTACCGCCAAGGGGAAACTTGTGACCAGACTGGTTAGGCCCCGGAATTTATGGACTTTGTACTTCCCGTGCACTCTGTGTCCACGCAGTCTTCACTAATGAAATGGATCCCAATGCCTTCTCACCGGAAATACTGATAGTGTGACAATCTTATCATCGAACCCGAAAAGCAGTCGTTCTAATTTAATCATGCGCTTAAGCTGCTGTGACCGGGAGTTTGGCAAATGAACATACCTAAAAAGGGAGATCGCGCTTCCCATGGGGGGTGACGCTTTGCGTGTGGTAGAAAAGTAGCGCGAGCCCTTCGTTAAAATTTTAATTCATTTGCTCGTGTTATCACTGCCGTTGCTGGTAAGCAGGACACTATTGGTCTCGAAATGTTCAACCAGTGCGTGCGAACCATGCTTCTCCGGTCGTAAAGAATCAGGTTAGGATGTACGGGGATTGCGGAAAGTTGTTGGCACTTTCACCCACCCCTCGGGCACACCAATTTCAATTTCTAGGATTGTTTTATGGTCACAAGATATCATACTAACAGTACAGGTACTAGCCAAAAGCCCATACACGCGTGTTTCGCTGCTATTCTGCCGCTGCATGACCCAGCTGCGAGGGGTTCGGCTCTTCAGTGGGTCCCGCAGCATTCACTGTCTGCTTTCTGGTAGATACTTCAGTTTACAAATTGTTGCATTTTATTTTCCTTAGAAATTGACTGCGAACTTGGAGTAGATCAATATATACTAATGTCTATAGGCGCAGACCGAAATGTAATGTATGTAACTGGCGACATGCCACCGAGGATATAACAGAATAACTTGTAAACTTTTTAGCGTTGAAAGATACCATACTGGCAGCACAGGCACTAGCTAAAAGCTCAGACACGCGTTTTTCGCCGATATTTTGTCGCTGCGTGGCATAGCTACAAGGGGTTCGGTTCGTCAGTGGGTTCCCCAGCATTCCCCGCGTTTTCCGGTAGATACTCCAATTTAGAAATTGCCGCTTTTTAATTTCCTCAGAAATTATCTACAAAGTTGGAGTAGATCAGTTTACACTAGGGTTTATAGGCGCAGATCGAAATGTAATGTATGAATATTTGGGCCGAAGTCCATCAGCCACAGCCGGATAACCGCGTAATATTCATTAACTGCCGACGGGCAGCTAGTAGTATATTTTAGGGTCACAGGTTCCAGGATTTTGCTAGAGGGTGATGAAGTTCTATTTGTCGCTATTCTGCACTGCCGCTAGGACTGGTTATTATTTTGTGTCTAAGCGATTTGCCGGATCGCTGTGAAGCTACACCTGAAGCCATTATTGCTGCGTTTCAAAGGTAGGCCTCATTGAAAGCGGTTCCCCTATCGGCCGCCCGTAGACGGGCCGGGTAGGTTGCAACTGATGTACCAGACGGCATGCATCAATCCAGGATCTCTGTTTTTTGGGTTGTCTCGCTACCGATTTCCAGCAATTGAGCTGACTTGCCTAGTAGGCTGACCACGACTCATCGACCAGAGGACAACGCCCGACTTCACGTTCCTATGCGATCACAGGCAAAATGACTGACGCCCGCATGAGCTAGGCTTCCTCATCTGTCGCAGTCTGCTGAACTAGTTGCGAAGGGCTGTCTGGAGCTCTAGTTTCCTTCAGACGTTCGACAATGACATCGACCCCAAAGTGGCCCTACAGTGCGTGACCGATCTCATGAAATGTTAGCCAAAATTCTGGAATGCGTTTCCAATCAGGAAGGATTTCTTAAGTGGGGTTGTTATACTGATTATCATGCAACATAATTCTATAACATTTCGGACCCGCCAGAATGTCGGCTTTTGAATGCCCTTCTTTTTGACCTCCTGCAGAAACCACACTTGTTAGAAAATGACTACATGCATTTTTCCCATTGATTTTCGATAGGCTTACAAATTCAAATATATTTTACAGAAAACATGCACTAAATATGCTTTATTCTGCTCATTTGGAAGAAAATCACATTATCTCCATATTTTATGTGTATTTTAGTTTTAAAACGTTTCCAATTCTCGAATAATTTTCAGCCCAATATGCCATTACATCAGCGTTTAGCAGTTTCAGTCTACATGGTGCATGCTTTCCGCATAAGGAAAATCATATATTCCTCTATTTCTTTAAGAAAATACCACATATAGTTCATGATATTTTGCAATGGATCCGGACCGTCTTGTGCATTTCATGAGGAACATTAGTAAACGGACATGTGAGGTCTTGCACGCATAGACATCGCACAGTCTTAAAAATCTCATAATTAGAAACTTTTTAAAACCTAAATACACACTTTCTTCCGACATAAAATATGAAGACAATGTGATTTTCTACCAAATGAGCAAAAGAAAGCATATTTTGTGCAAGTTTTCTATAAAACATATTTGAATTTATAAGATCATCGAAAATCAATTGGAAAAATGCATGCTACCCAAGTTGTCAATTTTTACTGAGCGTGCTTTCTGTAGGAGATTAAAAAGATGGGCATTCAGAAGCCGACATCCTGACGAGTCCGGAAGGTTATAGGGTTATGCTGCATGCTAATCAGTATAAGAAGCCCACTTAAGAAATCCTTCCTGATCGGAAACGCATTCCAGAATTTCGGCTAACATTTCATGAGATCGGTCACGCACTGAAATTAGCTTCTTCGGTTGTCAGCACCAGGACTGTTGTGTGATTCACCATACTGACAGCACACATATGCTGACTAGGCGTGCAGGCACGTGTTTCGCCCTATTTAAAACGCTGCCTGACTCAGCCGTGAGGGGCTGGCTTCAGTAGTGGGTCCTCCAGCCTTCCCAATGTGCTTTCTGGCCTATAGACTCCAATTTTAGATGTCAGTCATTTTAATCTCCCCTGCCTGTCTACCAGTTTGCAGCTTGGAAATGTTACTTGGTTAGCTCGCGGAAGCTGATTGATTTCGGCTCAAATATTCATGCCACCTTTCGCTCCGAGCCTGAAGAATTTTGTCGCGAAAGTTTTACGTCAAGTTAGCACATTAACTTCTAAGGAGATTAACTAGTTGAGGTGCCAGAACTTTTGTAAGCATGGGATACCCTCCTTACCAGAACGCTGACACTAGAGTAGTAAGAGAGGATGTTTCTGAAACGGCCTGTATTTAAAATTAATAGTTAATTAGAGTTGCGAAAATTCCAATTGTAAAATTCAAAAGGCAATTTAACGAGCATATGTCTGCTTTCGATAAATTCTCTTCAGGCCTGTACATTTATATGGCTATTAAAGTAATGAAAAAGATACGGGCAAGTAGATAATTAAGCTGTAGCTCGGGTTTGGGGAGCTACAGCTTAATTATCTACTTGCCCGCATCTTTTTCATTACTTTAGTAGTCAGTTAAGGGTTTAAATAAATGTTGTTTCCCCGCAGCGCTTTTTGTCCGCAGTCGCTCGTTTTATGCATTTTTCATCGAGAGGTATTGTAACAGTCGAAACCTAGCGTACTTTTATTTGCATGGATACAAACCCCCTTTCATTTTACCCTCGCCTGGAGAGCTATATAGTAGCTTTGAAGTTTTTAATGTTTAGATGCCGGCTGTAGCCACACTGTCAAGCCGACCATCAAGGCTCCCACAATAAAACAGGAAGTAGAATATTTCAGAGATAGTTCTCCCAAAGGAATAACATTCTAACTTGTTTGATATACCAGTCCCCCTTGGTTTCCTCACTTATGGGGGCTTTAGACTGTATTGAGAGAGGGATAAAAACAAAGGACGCTTTTATGTCGATATAATTACAGTTTCCAGAAAGAACGTCACATCAGACAAACCTGTAATCAGATTACTTGTGTCTGTTAAGATGGAAGATGGGTCGGTTGATCAGCAGGTAAGAAGGCAGGCTAAGCAGGGAATTACAAAATTTTTCTACGCTTCGAGATTGGAGGGGCTTTACGAAGAAGCCTTGCCCGAAAAACCCCAACGACGGACTGCCTAACTGCTGAGGCTGGTCTATCAAACGGCAAAATAAGGTCGAGGGATGTAAAACTGAACAACCGAGTTGAAAAGATGTATTTGGTTTCTCTAAGAAACCTTATACAAATTCTAGTTGAACATTGAAGTATAAACGGGCAAACGCATGCATCAGTGAAACCCTGACTTTCGAATGTAGAACATGAAATTGCGAATCTTAAGGGGGTTGGTAAGAGTAAAGGTTGGCCTAGTGCGAAAGAGGTTGAAAGTCAGGATTCATTCGGAGGGCCATCAAGAAGGTCACCTTAAAAGCCAACTGAGTTAACTTTTGACCATTAACCGGACTTTTTTCCAATTAACTTGCTGAGTTACAGTTCAAGAAAGTCGTTACTAGTTGCATTTCCCGGCCATCTTTTACGGGCTGGCCACTAACACCTCCAGTTTATCCCCGTTTCTTTTTTGTACTTTGATTTTCATGTGCTCTTCCTTTTTTAGAATGCCTTCAATTTAGTGGCTTACGAAAATCCCATTGATAGCCCGTTCGGCGATCTAGCGCACTTCCGTCACCGAAAATTGTTGGCTGACTCAGTGAACAACACGATTTTAGGTATGCATTCCCAATACCCTTGCCCTACTGCATTGGATATTTCAGAGTTCTGTTAACTACTGCTGCTACTGCACTACATCCACTACTAGTTCCACTAGCACTAATATTATTGTTGTTTACTGCATTAATAATGGGACTGCTACTGTCAACCGATCGGGAATATACAATGTTAGGGGGCGCTCACCGATCGTTCTTACGGAACTCACTCGTTCCGTTGTGCCTTACCGGCTCTCCCTCGAGCCCAACCAGCAGCCGCACAACGGTGTATGATGTAGATAGAATGTTATTACTGACGCCGGCTAATAAGCCAGAAATGGCCATTTCAGTCTCCCTTGTCTTTGTCGGTACTAACATTCTGCCTATATCATGCGCCGCTGTGCGGCTGCTGGTTGTGCTCGAGAGACAGAGCCCGCTAGGCACAACGAACGAGTGAGTTCTGCAAGAACGATCAGTGAGCGCCCCTCCACCGATCTCTTCAGTCTTGCGAGTTGGCCATCTGGCAAACTCCGCCGTAGTAGACTTCGGCATCGGATGAATGTGGCCCGACTGACACGGCCATAACCCAAATACAATCTGCATTTTTTCGGCAACTACTTCGATGCGTCCTTACCATCGAGCGAGTCCAGGATGCTGTGGGTATGCGTGACCAAGGGCTTCTAGAGCAGTGGCCGCAATCCGAACCTCATTTAGCAGATGACAAGGCAGTGGCGCGTCCGGCAGTTTGCAACACAAATTGCCCTTGCCAGTACCCCACGCGCCACTGGCCACACTCGCCCATGAAGATGTCAACGACGAAAACGAGAGCAAATACAAGTTCTCTGCCGCATCGGAAGGCCAAAGAATGTGGTCGGTAGGAGATTATTTTCTGTGCAGGCTCGCACGAGAAGGGTACCCCTGTTGTTGCAGCTGCTGTTCTCGTTGCGATCTAATACCCCCACCTAGACCTGTTACGATGGGACAGCGGGAACAATCAGTTTGTCCGCCTTCAGCACAGTCGCGAGGAAGGCATGAGGGTTCTCGTAGAATTTGCCCCTCGGGCCGTCGGGGATTGTAGGTGTGTAGACGGAAGATGGGGACGAATTGCCGCCCCCCCCCCCCGCGGAGTGGCTGTCTCATTGTCATGAAACGACGGCTTATGTCCTGCGGTAGACAGGGCAACAGTCTCCTGACGTTGTTCTTGATAGCGAGAGGTATTTCGATGTCTCGTACTTTAATACCTTCATACCACTGCTGCCGAAGAAGTTGTATCCAGAGTCGGGTTTCACTAGACCGCGATGCCCACTTTGTTGCGGTCCAATTGTCTGGTAATTGGAGCTGCCATACCCTTCGGCATAAAGTTAACTAAAGGAAGGGAAGCACTACAGGCTACCAGCTCGAGCATTGCTTCTCCTATAGACTGCGCTCAAGCACGAAAATAGTGGTCATAGTTGTTTCGAATAGTTTTTAGCCAAATTGCAAGGCTTATCCGCCAAGGCTGGCGTGGCGACATGATTACCAGGATTTTTCAGGCCGGCTTTTCTAGCTCCTGCCTCGCGAGGAAATTGTCAGCGCTTTTCTATATAGGGTCGCCAACTTATCCCAGACGGCTGCCGAACTCCACTAGGGGTCACGGCTTTTTTACACCGCGAAGGCGACCTGAATCAACCTGCTGCGCCTACTCAATCGCGCACCTCTCCATAGAAGTTCTTTTTTATTGCGAGGAAGGAGGATGGGGAGGTAAGTGTAGGATGTCGAGACACGCCCACTGGACATTCTCATCTGATTTAGCCCGGCAGCCCACGAAAGTTTCTGGGGTGTGGCCATCGTGCCGAGCACGACTTGGTGAATCCACAGGTGAGAGCTGGGCGGCAGGGCCAAGCGAAATAGAAACATTCAGCAGTCCAATCGGTGCGTCGGATGGTGACCGTCATCAGTGTGTTGCTTACTAGCATTTGCTGCGACCGGCCTATATTGTGTCGCGCATGTTAACTCCCCATGCACATGACGGTCTGCGGTCTGTCAGTCTAGTGTTGTACATCGCCCATCCAATCGCATCGACGAACCTGAAATGACTGTTTAGCTGCAACGGGTCCCTGCTCAGACATCTTGTACGCCTCAGTGTAACTAATGCCTCCATCGCTACTAGTTCAACGGAAGCCATATCCTAAGGCATATTGTAATAGTTGCAAGAGATTTCTTGCAACGCACATTCAGTCCATCCCACGCCCGCCAGGATATGAACGACCGTCACCACAAAGAAGTCATTCGGAAACTTACGGATAATCTTTGATTGGCTATGAAATCCGAAAACATTTACCGGTGACTAAAAATTAAAAAAAAATTGCCTACGTTGTACTCGGATAAATAGAAACAGCAGTATTCAATTTACTTTCAGATACTCAACCAGATCTAGGTCATTAAATTTCGCGAGTTTCATTGCTTAGCTTAGGGCTATTATTATTTTCAAACGGGTATTCGTACTGGTGCTTCGGCTGCTACTGGGTATTATTGCTACTACTACTACTACTACTACTACTACTACTACTACTACTACTACTACTACTACTACTACTACTACTACTACTACTACTACTACTACCACTACTACTACTACTACTACTACTACTACTACTACTACTACTACTACTACCGCTACCACCGCTACTGCCACTCTGCCTTGCATACGGAAACTCACATTGGCTTTTCGCCCGTCCGTGGCTCCTTTGGGTCGGATTGTTAGGTTGGCACCATTGCCAAAAATCGGAACTCCACTACTGCGACTGATCAATCCATATCTGATCCACCCCCTCATCTAATGTGATTTGCAACTGGTATATCGCTTATCTCTCGCGGGCTGTGTGCGAGTGAGACTTTGTGTTCGTCCTGTTCTCATTGTAGGGAGTACATTTCACTCAAATTTTCCAAATCCTTCGTTCACCTGTGCTGTTTAATTTTCTCGTGGTAGGCCGAACGTGGCAGAGCAGTGAGTGTAGCCGGACTGAGAAGGGGTGGGGGAGGGATAGGAGGTGAACTTGATTAGTAAACGTTCGCGTTCTGCCCTCACTGAGCGCTCGGTTTCTCTCCCTCCCGACCCCTAACCAGCATGCGCATGCTAAACGGGTTTGAGTGTCCGGCCTTTGAGCGGCAACTCTGCGCGCTCAGGTACATCGGCATGATCGGCAGCCCTGATGTTAAACCGCCAGTCCATGCGTGCACATGTTATCCAGTACTTACCCGCCCTGTTTCACTCCGTTTCACAATAACTGCATGGTTTTAGTAAAATTTCTTGTATGCGGTCTCTGGCACAGTTTTTGTCCAGAACTCGAGGCGAACAGCCCCACATGGGTCACGCGGACTAATGTGGTCAACTGGGGATGATATGACAAGTTTCTGCGACCAATCTCTTGGGACCCACTGATCTGTTTGAGGTTCCATTTAGGTCTGTGCGCCAATTATTTTATCGCCTCTTATTGGTCTGTTTGTATACCAGCCTTGTTTTTCCACTTATGTGTTTAGCTCATCTTGGAAAGTCTGGGTTCCCTCTCCTGGAAACCGGAATCAGTATCCTTGAACAGACTGTCATGGGTGTGAAATTTGCCCCAAAGAGCCCAAACAAAGTGACCGATGCCCGCAAGACCCTCCAACCTTCCTTCTCCTCTTCCGAGACTCTGACACCTCTGCAGCCAGCATCATCGACAACTTCGACCGCGATGCGGACGTCTACCGCCCAGGAGTACTTGCATCCCATACGGAACTTACACCATCGATCACAACACCATCACACAGGTACCAGCACAACCCTCGTTATAACGAGCACCTCTACAGTGGCTTCCCAACATACTAGTGCTAGTACCAGTACTGAAACGCGCAGTCTACGCCCAGTTTATCCTCTGCCCTTTTTCGCTTCCTCCACGGTCTCTACCGGTTCTGCCTCCGAGGTCTTTGCAGTCCCTGTTAGTCACATAACCCAGAGCACAACGACCGAAAGTGCAAGTGGTGGCGGGACCTCTACAGGCGGTCGATTCCGCAGCACTATTGTCCAGAGCTCGCCATTCCCTGTCGTCTCGCCGCCCCCCACCTCGGAAGGCGATGAGTTTACCCGGTTATTCAACGCCTACATGCAGGGCCCGCAAGTATACATACATCGGTTGCAGCGAAACCACCGACATACGGCGGAGACCCCGTCTAGAGACTCCGGAGCACGCTCCTCCTCACCCGGCGGTGGACAAAAGTACTCCTCAACGTCAGCCGCTGTAGCCGCTGTTGCTGCGGCTGCAGACGCCTTGGCAACTGCAGGAGTGCTCGTACCAGGCTCTGAGTTTGCAGGTTTCTTTCATCCGACTCTCTTCCTTTAACGTAACTGCCCCACACCCCGTTCTCTACTCATCACCTCGCTATGTCCCGTCCCCCCCCGCGCCGGTTATTTGCGTATGTGCACGTATCCGTCCGCCAGCCTTCTTGTCCTGCTCTTCTCGCGCCTTCTACTTCACGGACATCTTTCAGAGCATCAAGAAGTTGGGGGGCGCCCGCAGTCCTGTCACTAGTTTTTCGCTCACGCGCTCCTTTCCATTTGCACGCACTACCTGCTTTCACATTTGCCACCTCTCCCGTTCGCATAGCGGATCCAAAGGCAGGGCTGTGTGCTGTATCCTTGCGCACTCCGCCTCTCTCAACTTGTGATCACCCCGGCATATTACCACCCGCCCCCAAAACCCAACTGACCCCGTTTTTGTGCGCCTCCACTGCTCTCACTTCTTCGCTCTCCCTCCCCCCTCCCTGGCTCCTGTTCCTGAGCATCAACAAAACCGTTTCGCGGTTCTCGGCAGCGCACTATCAGGAATAGGGGGGGAGGGGTCAAAAGTGTTTGCTAGCAGACTTTTACATTTGTTTATATTTTGACAAATGACTTGAATCGCTCTTTCGCTCTCCCTCTCACTTTCTCTCCCTACGTCTTTGCTGCCTCTCACACGATGGCGTCTTTTGTCCTGGACTTGTAGACTCGGCTACGTGGGCCAAAGAGGGGGGAGTGGGAGCGGACTTCCACTAAGACGAAGTTCCAAAAAATCTGTCTTGTGCGTGATCTTTCGGAATTGGCTTGAAGTGTTTCTCTGTCAGCTGGGGTGTCAAGTCGGGCGCACCGCGCTTCTGTTGGCCATCCAGGGCCGAGACCAGAAGGACTGGCATCCCAGATAATTTCGCGTTGTACATGACCGAGTATTATGAGTTTGCGTGCAAGGAGGACGCACGATGGACTGAACAGTCTCTCTGACTGACTGTTAGAAATGCGATCAAAAGGACTGCTTAGGAGCATGGACAGAAAACCCCATCTGTCGGCCACTTCCGGACTGCCTGTCTCTGCTGAAGACTTGAGATTTTGGTCTGGAATTAGATAGTTCAAAGTGGAGACTCCAGGCTATCTACCCTGGCTGGGGCTATTCTCGTGCTGGAGTGCGGCTGACTTTTGCTGCTGCTTATGTAATCGCCTACGGAGGACGTAAGCATATCTGAAGATCCTTATTCCTGTGCTCTACTGGCGCCAAGCCAGTGAGCGCCCCCCTCCCCCTGTGGGTGCATGACATTAATGAATTGGCAATATCGTAAGTTGACTCAAAAAACCAGCATGCGGACTGAATTGCTCCGGGCGAAAGTAATCCGTAACCTGGTTTTCGCGGTTTATGGGCAGATTAGAGGGCCTTCGATCGACCTAGACTAACTACAGTCGGTGAAATATCGCAAAAGTAGGCGGAACTCGCAAAACCCAAAACGACAGTATCAGAAAGAGGGAACTTTTGTTTCACTGGGGTGTGAGTGTAGTTTTCACCCGTCTTATAGGCTGAATTCCCTAAAAAGATCCAGAAGATTCGAAAAGCTTCTTATTGCGATAAGTGCATGTGGACTTGCGAGAAAGTGTGCCTGCTGGGTATGACTGGCTGCCGCAGTAAGCAAGAAAATTGAAATCGAGAAACTACTAACTGCTAAATTAGGTCCTCCTGTTACCTACGGGGGGGGAAGAGCAGTGTGAGATGCGAACTTCTTCACTGAGCTATTTGCGCTGGACCAAGCGTCCGACAATGCTGGCCGTCGCGTAGCACTCAAAGGTCCTACAAATCGGGTTGGGTGCGACTGACTAACGACGACCTGTTAGTCAAAAAGGGTCATCCCAGTCTTTCTTCGCCAATACTCCTGCTCGTATAACTATGTATCACTGCAACTTGATCTGTCAATGCCTGCACACGGTATTGAATTTTCCCCATCGCAGTCCAGAAAATAGCGGGTCCGTGGCTAAATGGTAGTCAGGGCTGTGTATGGCTGGCTGACGACGGCTAGTAGGCCGGAAATGGACATCCCGGTCTCCCTTGTCTTTGTCGGTATTCCCTCCTGTACTCAAAATTGGTTTGAATATGCCCAGGATCCAGATGGTAGGGGGGATATGGCAGGCCACTCCGTTAGGTGCCTTTCCCAGCTTCGACCCCTCCCCGTGGGGTGCGCCTGGGAGGGGGGGGTTTGCCGGTATGCAGAAGGTTGGGGCTCGGCATCGCAAATTTTACGGGCCATTCCTCTTACCACCGAAGACATGGGGAGACTATGCCGGACGTTGGCCCCTTGTTGTCAATAAGCAATATTCCAAAATCGGCCCATCCATGCCTCCAATTCTGGCGCCGGCAACATCTTTCAATTATTGATCGCTCATCGCTTGTGAGAGTTCTTCATCGAAAGGACGAGGCAAAATAAAGCGTGCGCATACTTCTCTGCAGTCAGGTGATAAGGGCTTATGTCATTTCCCTGTAATTTCCAGCAGCTTTTCTGTCCGTTAACTGTTAACCTTTGCTCGAATGAACGGTAAATCCCGTAGTTTGTGTATGCTATCAACGTCGCCTGCGTCCAAGTTCTGTCTGTCATCCCTGATCATTTTAAGCTTTTGCCGGGAATTGGTTTGGTCCATAGCTTCGTCACTGACAACATACAGCGTCAAAATAAAAGGGCGTTCCCCTTCACAGATGCAGATGCTCGCTCTAGCTTTGGACGACTAATACTTGGAGGAGGCGCAGCTAAGGATTTCATTACAGCGGACGGAGTCAGAAATAGCCTTTATAATTTCCTTTATTTTTTCTGGCATCATCTCTAAAGTTGACACGATTTCTGTGGATAAAAAGCATCCAAAGGGCATATCAGTAAAACTTAGATACAATCAAAATATGTTTTAATGATCGAGGGTATAAACGAATTTTCGCCTGGCCGTGACCTAAACACAGTTTTAGCTGCCGTGGCGTGTTAGTTTTGCACTTCTTATAATTTCTACATATAATCATGCTATAAGGGAGCTTTATTCTATATTGTAAATACCATAGCGCTATCAATTTACCTTTAGCGTTTTAAATATATTTTATCGGCAAAGAATTCAATTTGGCGAAAGCAAAATTTATTCGGAAAAGGGGGCCAGATAAAGAGAAGTTTGGAAAACTATCGGCTTACTTAAGCAAAATAACATTCTGGTAGCTCCAAGAAGCGTCATTATTACATATGTTTACGTTTACCTTTCACGATTAACTTCAGTTTAACTGAGTCCACTGGAAGTCAGCCAATGTGTTACTGCCAATTCTCCTCACAGATGTAACATTATTATTTCTTTGTGGCAAACAAACAGGGGAAGACGGTATACAGGATTGCTCAGTCCTCAGTATAATTCCATCGTGACCTGTTGAGGAAGCTTTTGTGCATGTTACAGCCGTTTTCGGCCCGATCCGGTATTACTTGTAACTGAATTTTTACCAGTTGATGCCACGCGGAAGTGGTGCTCATCAGTTTAGTTCGATTACTGAGCTGGAGTTAGGTTTTCCTTGCTGAAAGTTTCTAAACCACTTTGTGATCTTCTGACAGGGGAAGTGTTTCCAGAATAGTCATTTCAGTCAGCCATGTATCCGCCCCAAACTTGGAATACCTAGTGTCTGGGTCTTCATGTGTGCGTTTGTGAAATCCATTGTCATACCACTGAGTCCAGGCGCCATGGTCTGTTCTCTGTAGATAACACTGGACAATGTAACCTACTATTTGAACACAGTGCGATCGTGCTCCCCCCAGCAGGCTAATTGGACCACAGCAAGAGAGTCGCCGCAGACGCTATCTCATGTGCTCAAATAGCCACCTCTGGCCAGTTCACTCTATTAGATTCCCATAATAGAGCCTTGGTCGGACCTTCCGAAAACAGAAATTTCTATGATCAAACCGTGTAAAAGGACACGTTGGTCAAGTAAATAAACGCACATCTTTAAGGCTGGAGTACTCATTCAAGCGCTGTGGACGCTAAGGAACAATAAAAGCCGTGCCAGTGATATCGCGAAGAAACTCGATCGCCTAATATAATTGGTGCCACTGCAAAATAAATACATACTTATAATTTGTCAGACTGGCCAACGCTGCCGATATTTTCCAGTTTTTAAAAGCGTCTTATAATTATCCCCCCCTCCGAAAACATTAAAACCTTCGCCTGGAGGTTTCCTGAAATGCTAACTGAAGTTCGCAGCGAAAGTTTTAGGCATTAGGGTGGGGTACGTTTGTATTCTCTGCTCCGATAGGACACGGGAACAGGCTTTATGCTAAATTCGTAGGAAATAAGGATTAGAATTAAGGAGTCAGGGGATGCGCCAAATCGTCTTAAGGCGGGGCACGTCAGTCTGAGCCTTAAATCTGATTGGCCAACTAGAAAGCCGAGCGGATGAGCTGTGGCAGCCGACAACGTAGAGGTTGGCACACACGTGGATACTAGACAGCTGCTGTCGATTCCTCGTCCGTAAGGATATTGAACAGGTTTGGTAAGCAAAACATCGAGCACACATGCCGAGACCATAAGAGGAAGAAGAAGTGTATTCTAAGACATTACTTGTGTAAACGGGTAAGAAGGATACAATGTGGACTAGAAAAGGGGTGTACCTGTACTACAGTCTGCTCTGGAGTGGGGAGTGTTTTGCTGTGTCCGTTAGAACATCGGTAGGGAGCGCAGCGCTGGAGGCAACTGCAGGAGTGGGAAGTGGGAATGCTGACACTGAGCGAGAGACAGAGAGAATATAAGACGAAGCAAACCGACGACAACCGCAGCGACGAGGGTCGGCGACTAGGGATGGAGGGGGGCACGGGCGTCTTCGCTGATACTCCATCACATCACCCTCATCCTAGGTTCGCACCTCACTGTCCTCCACTTCACTTAAACAACCTGTTCAGTCTGTGGTGTGTTACAGACAGCCCTGGTGCGCAAGTGCAGACACTCGCGGGAGGCCCAGTGTTTCGACAGGCACTCGGAGTAGGGTCACTACAGGCTTGCCACTAAGGTCGAGGTCGGGGTTAGTGGTAGGACACAAAT